TGTAGAATCCAACAATAAGAGGTATCCTAGGAAAAAAATTCACAAATTCGGGTCTTTCAGCCACTTCTTGGTCATCTCTGGCAGAACTTGAAATTGCAACGAGAGGGTAGGATAAGATCATGCCCAGAGAAAGAGAGAGATGTCATTTTGTCTACGCAATACCTTGGTTCAAATTTGACATCAGTACCACACTTTACTGAAGTACAGTCTTCAATCAGGTACTCTTATATCACAGTGATAACCTAAAGCAATTCTTTCTTGCTGAAAAGATTGAATTTTTTTAAAAAAAAAATAGGCAAGGAAAAATAGAGATTATTGGATGATTATTTTTTATTTATTGCAATTTGTTAGTAAGATAACTATAATTAACTAGTTAATAGATAGTTTATTCAAAAGTAACTAGTTCATTATGAAATCGATTGATTTCCATTTCAATAACGACATTTGGAAGGACTATAATATCCATCACTTTACAGAATATTAATTAAGTTAGTTTTCTATATATAAATAGAAAATTATAAAAAATTACATTCCTAAATTCTTTTACATGCTACGTATACTTTAAATACCAGTTTTCATTTGAAATTTTTCACAATAGGTTATTCTTCGCTCGATTTTGACAAATTAATAGGGGGAAAAAAAATCACATATCAATTCCCTTGCTTTTTTTTTTTAAAGTCTTAGGTTTCAATTTCTGACCAATTCATCAGGAAATCAAATTATTAATAATTAGTAGAATCCTACAAGTTACCAATAGGTATTTTTTTTCAAGGCAAAACTTGGTTTTATAAGGTTTTTGTTAATTTTGATTAACAAAGGTTATCCACTGAGTGTGTAGTAGCAAATACCTGTAAGGTTGTCTTTATTTTCACCTCTACGTGTGATTTCAACTGTATTTAAATCTTGGATAGAATGGTATCAGTTGTTCTTCTGTCATTCAAGCTCTACCCCAAAATGTGGTGTACAATGGTTTAATCCCTTTTGTCCATCTAACATAGAAGCTACAGAAGTCCCTTTTTTTTTATTTTTCCTTTTTTTGGCCATACACTACAAGAAGTCCATAATCCCAATATAATATGATTTTGGTTAACTAGTTGAGCATCAAACTAGGTGAGTTCATCAGTATATGAACAAAAAAGCTAATGATTGACAACTTACATATTAAATTAAATGGGTCAAATAATGAATACAACTCTATAAACTAACAGACATTAGGCCACCGTTTTGGGGTGTTTGGCTTTTTTGAACCACAAATCCATCACATCTCGTCTACTTTCCTAGTACGTCTTTCAATAAAGCCAAAAGACCGTGGAGTCTGGACATCCGGGGTGGCATGGGGGGCAACCCAAAATTAGTGATCTTTTTTCCTCTTTTCTTTTTTTTTTTTGAATAAATAAGCAAAACTTTAATAGAAAAGATCAAGGCGATGCAACCAATACAAACACCCGCAAAAGGTCCACAAGACAACTAAGCAAATCCTCTACAAAAATCCTACAAAAACCAAAACATCGGGATCAACCGAACCCGTAACCAACTACTGCCAATAACAGCAAAAAGCCAATTCTCTAAACCAAGAACTGAATGGCAACACGTCTTTGGAAGACACACCTATTGCCTCCAACCAAATAACAAAGCAAACAATGGCAGCAAGAGAGCCTAAAATTTAAGTGATCTTAGGAATCAATATTTAAAATAATAGAAAATAATAAATCAATTAGATATTCCATTATCTGCACATTGAAACATGGTAGAAACCAATGGCCTTTGGGAATCAACTTTGAAGCAATATTATTTCCTATGGTACTCAACTTAATGCATCATCAATATAGAAATATCTACGAATGAGAACCAGGAAAACAGAACAATTCCAACATGAAATTTAAGTACAGAATCAAAGCAAAGAATGCCCACCTATCTAAACAGCAATATTACTCTGTACCTAGCCCTGTCGAGGTTCGTTTAGAACTGCTGATTTCCAGTTAAACGAAAGAGCCACCCTGGGCAAGAAAAAAGGCACCAGCTCACCAAGACAGGACAGAGAACGAAAACCTGAGAAGTGGCTGCAAACAAAGCTTAACGCACAACAATCCTAGACAAGTCATTCCTGTACCAAGTGGAATAATTGCTATTGGTGGATCCTGGTTCCCGCCTTGTTTTGAAGCTCTCCCAGGGCTTCCCAAAACCCAACACTTGCGTCACTGCCTGCAACCCTGCCCAATCAACCTAGTAATCCACTGATGTTCTCATGTAAAGTTGAAGTTCAGAATCCAAGTCAATGCAAAAAGTTAGCATATATGTCTTCACATTGACTATTACCGTTACATAAGAGGAAATACAAATTAAAATAATACAGCTTTGATTATAGTTAAGGCTGTTACATAAGAAAAGGAAAACTGAAAACAACTCAATTTGGCCATAGTGCCGTACCAACACCTAGCTTTTCCACGAGTCTCTTTGGCACTAGTCCCCAATATACCAAATTCCATGCAACCCCAATACATATTGAACATATTCATGAGGCTTTCACAATCGAGGTCAAAGAAACCTAGAATAAAGAAGAACCAAAAAAAATTCATAGTACAGTGTAATCAAATTTAACCATGATGTTTTATTGAAACAACTCGAGACTTTCTTTGAGTTGAGTTGTGTTTCAAAAGGAAAAAATAAAGAAACATTACATGAAATAGCCTTTATATGATTGGTGTAGTAAGGCCTCAACCTCGCCTTGAACCACATAACCACGAAAGGAAATATTAGACAAGAGACTCCATCTAACCCAATTAGCAATTAGCTTT